GGGGGAATTTGATTGATGTGAAGTTGATGAGGTTGCTATGGTGGAGAAACGATTAGTGAGGGAAATGTTGCCAATTTTTTGTGTAGTACTAGGGTTGTTTGATCCTAGTTGTTGACTTGTAGTGTGTAGGTTTATGGACAAGACTTCATAGTCCATAGATATGGGGCAATGAGGAGGGGCATGTAGTGTGTTTTTCGTGTTATAGGTCCTAGGTTCCTTATTCTTGCTTGTTTTGTTGTTGGTTTGAATAGCAGGACTTGATTGAAGGGATTTTATAGGGCTTAGTTCTTTGTCCGTTGGTTTTCCTATGTTTTGGACTAGGGTATCATGGTGCCCTATACCCTTTGTAGGGTAGCTCATGTCTAGGGGTTTTGTCAAAATGTTAGACTTGTACTGTGTTGGGGTTTTTGAGGGAGATTGGTCTTTACTATTTGTGTGCAAAGGGTTGTTTGTGGGAGGGGTAGTCTTTTGTCCACTGGGTATTTTGCCTGAACCATCTCCTGTGCAAAGTTTGTCAAGAATTTCTCTCGTTCCTGAGGGTCGTTAGGTTTCCAGGAGCTAGATTTCTCCAGCTCTTGCCTTGTTTTCCTTCTTTAATGAGAGACGATGGTCCAACTTTCCACTTTTGTTGTGATGGATTCAATGTCCTGCGTGGACCTTTTATTATGATTGTTTGTAGGTTTTTCGTTTTGGAATCTATTTTCTTGTTTGGACAGGATAATAGGTTGTGGTATAGGCGTACACAGTTAGTCATAAGATATTGAATCCTTCGTATGCAATCTTTTGGTAGTGTTTTCCTAGCACAATATGAGTCTTTAGAGATTTCTCGATTGGTACTAGGATGCAGAGTCTAGCATATTTCCCTCTAAGTGCTGAGGAGGTACAGGTGTCTATGCGTATGAGTTCGCCTAGTTTATTCCATATTTTTTGAAGAATGTCGTAGTCGTAAAACTCCGTAGGAAGCTCATGAAGTCTAGCCCAAATGGCCGAGTAGGTTAGTGAAGCTTCTGATGCCACAAATCTAGGTTCCCATTTCCTAACGATGAGGAATTGGTTTCCTATGAATGAAGGCCCCTCATGAAGTGCTTTATTATAGTTGTCTTGTTTGTTGAATTTTATAAGGTAGTAGTCATAACCCAGGTCGATAAGTGAAATAGTCTCATTTGGTTTCCATATTGCTTGTAGTTTTCTTTGGAGGAATTGGTAGCCAACCCTTTTTCCCAAAGACTTTAACGATGAGGGTTGTTTCCCAGTTCTTATACAATCGTTCTTTGTCCTCGGAGGTTATGGGGATGAAGACATCGGCCTTTTCTTCGAGGAAAGGGTTTTCTGTTTCATTCGAGATTATTAGGTTATCATTTATGTCATTTTGGACACAGATATTGTTTGAGAGGTTATTGGTCTGAAGGCTATTGTTTAGGATGTTTAGGAAAGTTGTTTTATCTTTTTGGGGCTGCCTAAGTTCTAAAGGATGTGTAATATCCATATTTTTGTTCGTTTGGTGGTATGCATTAGCAGAGGTGGACCTACAGCCATGCTTGAAGGGTTGCGTGAACCCGTTAACTTCGGCAAAAACTCTATATATGCATAGTTGTATATACGTTGGGGACCCCTTAAATATTTTTCTTGGCACCCTCATTAACAAAATTACGCCTGCAGTAATGGTCTTCTTCTAAGAATAAGCCTTGCTCTTTGTCACAAGACGCGGGTTCGAAACGCGCCTGCCACAATAGGATCCGCCTCTATGCATGAGGTGGGGATGGAGCATCACTGCTTGAAGTAGCAGATGAGATCTCCATGTGGTTTGGGGTGTTCATGGTAGGAAAAGAGTCATGGATAGTGTTGTCGAGCATGCCTTAGAGTTTGGCGAAGAAGAAGAGAAGAAGGTAATGGGAGGGATCTTATTTTAGAGAGAGGGCAGAAGATTTCTGGCTCTAACCCATCTTGTGGCTAGTGTTCCATTCTCTTGAAGCACACTTAAATCAAAAACAACTAAAACACTGCTTTTAAAGAAAACTTTGAGAAACAAGATAAAATGAAATATTACTCGTATCAAAACTATTTCCATTGAAAAATCTACTTCTAGAAACTTTGAACCAATGCAGAGAAATGAGGCCTAGCGACGAACATCTTGACGCAAGAAAATTTCGAGGATGGTGTGTTTCCTACGTTTAACTATATCATTAATCAGTCGTAATCTAAATTGTGCTTTAAATAAATATTGCAGTATAATAACATTTTCTAAAAGCATACAGAGAGGAAAAGTCCTGAATTTTCATGAATAATAAAGTTAATTAACCAAAAGTGTCAAATGCATTATTGCGTTTTTCGATGGCGATATAATAGACAATTTGTATTCTACTCAGGGTTTTTAATATTAAGTATTCTCAGTTTGCTGTTTAAAAGGCTACAATCGTGTCAAGACGAGTCAAGAATAATAAATTTAAATGTTTCATTTGCATTTAAATCACTTACTATATAATTTGCTTCTTAGGGCTATACACAGCACTTCAATGTTGTTCTTTACGCGGTTGTGTTCTTGATTTTGGTAGGAAGAAAAAGTATTACTCCCGCAGTCCAATTTATACGACAGTATTCGAATTTCAAAAATTTAAAAAGTTTTTATTTAATGTATTTTTTTTATTTGGCAATATTTTAAATTGTTAATTATTGTGATTTAAAATGCTTTTTACATAGTTATTAAATAATAAAATTTTAATTTAAATATATTATATCCGAATTCATGGTCAAAATTAAGAAACTTGACTTTAGTGTAATTATGTAACTTTCAAGAGGTATTGCAACCCAAGAATAGCGTCTCAATGCAATGAGAGGCCTAAGCCAAAAACTAAAAACATGACCTTAATTCTTTTGATAAAATTTAAATATATTTTATTTGATGTTATAACTTCTTAAAATGTGAAGTAGTTCATTATATTTTTAAAATTATTTTTTAATTGGCAATATGTACACCAATTTATTTAATATTTGTAGAGACATAATTGATAGTAGGTTATAAGTTTTTATTGATTCATGTTTTGAAAAACTTTTCCAACTAAGACAACAAATATAAAAATTGTTTAATTTATTCTATAAGCCATCTAATTATGTTAAAACTTTAATACTTCTTACCTGGTTGAGTATATATGTCAGTAAGATTATATATATATATATATATATATATATATATATTCTATTTGTGCATTTTTCTTAGTACTTTTAATTCCAAAAATAAGCTGAAATTAATAATATCATAATGATGATCATTCTCTTTCAAATAATATTCAAGATTAAGACAATGAATTCAATTGTTATCTGTCTAATTAACTTACAATGGCACTAAATGGATTGAAATAAAAATTATACATAGCTAATTGGAATGAATTAGACAAAATAAGAAGAAAGCAATAAATTGGCTGTGAATATTTCTTCCTCAAAACAAAATGAATTGGCTATAACTTTCAAGTTTCAACAGAGTATTTCAATCAATAATCTAAAATGCTACAACTTTCAATTGCATGTATTTCAATCGCATTGACTGGAAATAATTGAAAAGATTTTATTTTTCAGTAACAATGAATAATAATTTTTAAAATTTATATATAATTTTGAGGCCTTACTATTTTAGGGACCTAAGGTTATTGCCTTACTTACCTTAAGGTAAAACCGGCCCTGCCCAAGAAAAAGAGATTTATTGGCAAAAATACATGATTTTGGACTATGAGTTAATAATAATAGTTAAGTTTTATATTATTATTTTGGAATGGTTGTATATGCAATAATCTTTTCGCCATTTATATGGTTGTCAAGTAGAAGAAAATAACTTATATGGTCAAAGGTGTGTGAAACAATTTCTTGAATGTTCTGTTCCTTGTTGGAGGTTTTTGCTTTTCTTTTCATTTTCTACTTTCATATATAAAAGATTATGTTAATTCGTTAACTTTCGTTATTTCCAATAATTAAAATTAAGAATGCATGTTTGATTCAATTAAAGGTTAAATGTGGGACCAAAATCAGCATAAGGCAATTTTTTGAGGTGTGCAATTGTTATTATTTTTTCTTTTTGGTTTCTCACCATGTGTTTGGTACTTGTTTTGAGAATCGATAAATCATATTCACACCCAGAAGTCCTATGTGCTCCTTATTAAAGATAATACTATACTAGTAGCTTGAACCCGTGATCTTTTGGTTAAAAATAAAGCATTTACTACTCGGCCACAACGTTTAATTAATAATTATTACTATTAATTTTCCTTAGGCCAAACAAAAAATGGGTTAATTTTATATTTTTCCCATATCCAACCCATGGATTTGAAATAAAAAAGAGACAATTTATTCCAGCCCATGATGACAAAACGTACAACTTTCTTCCATCTTCGCACCTCCCTAATCCAAATCTAGGAGGGTAGGAAGGGCTACAAAGCATAGAGTTTCTCATCCGGTGTCTGGTACCCATATTAAAGCCCGATTATATTCGAATTCGTGCCGCGTAGGGCCCCATTCGGAGGGAGCGCTCTCTATTAATGATTTTTTCATACTCAGGGCTCGAACTCGAGACTTCTGGTTAATGGAAGAGCAGTTCCATCCAGTGCACAACATCCTTTGGTGGTAAGTAGTGAGTTACTTATCTGCATATACCCTCCTATATCTAATTTATTTATTAAAACAATTGATTGTTTTAGCTTTAAATTTAATTTTGGAATTATATTTGGAAATTAGTTTTAGAATTGATTTGTAGAAAACAAACAACATGTTTGCATTTAATTAATTTTTGAACAATTGATTTTGAAGGAAAAAAATAGGAAATTTTACAACCTATAGAATACTTTAGTACCCTATTTATATTAAATAAATATCATTTTAAAATATTACATCCTATAAATACCTTTTTATAGTTTATAGCAAAAAATCTAAATATAGCATCATCCTACAATTAAGGCATCATATATGCTACAAAATATTTTTTCTCTCCCCTTTTTGTATTTTTCTCTCACCTAATTACCGTATATCTCCGCTGACCAGCTTCTCTCTCTTCTTCCATACGCTTTACCATCTTCTCCACAAACACACGTTTCTCTGTCATTATCAAAACAAAGTTCAAAATCACCCTAAATCTCTATTTCTCCGCCATTATCAAAACAAAGTTCAAAATCATCAGGGATTCACTCTTCTATTTCCGATTTTTACACTCATGGTAATGTATCTTCTTCAAAATTGCTTTGTCATTATTTTGTTTCTCTAATTTCTATATCGATTTTACACAAATTTCTGAAACACTAACCATTTGTATTGTTAATCATCAGGAATCTTTGAGTTTTCTCTCCAATGACGGATTCAACGCCACTCAACAGAGTACCCAGAGGTATACCCACCAAAATTCTCAATTTTGATGGGCCCTCTTTCTCGTTGCAAATAACTCAAGCGGAGTCAGATTTTGCAGGTTTATCAGCATCCGCAGTTGATGAGAGAAGAACTAAATTACACAATGGCAAGTTGAAAGAAGTCGAAGTTGATAAATCTTCAAAAGAAACCAAAAATCCAGTTGGCTCAAAGAGGAAAAAACCTATGAAAGATTCACAAATCCAAAAGGTAATTGCNGTTGCTATTTGTATCAATATGCATTCAAATAAACTTATTTGTGTTCATAAGTATTCAATCATATGATGTTGTATTCATATGTAAGTAGTTGTATTTTTGTACTTTA